GACTCGCAGGGAAGTCGGGAGGCACTGGGGTCCTGGGGTCGGCCAGAGACCGTGGGAGACCCAAACCAGAGCTCATCCCGCCCAGATCTGCTATCCTGGGCCGAGGGCCCAGCGACTGGGCAATGGAGAGGGAAAGATAGCGGATGCCGGCGGCCCCTGCCCGGTCATCCTCTGCACGGTCCCCGAGGACACTTTCAGGCTCTGGGACCAGGCACCGAGGCGCCTAGCCCAGCGTCCCCTGAGAATCGCTGGAGAGGGTAGCTGCTCCCCAGGACTGACGTCTTCGCTCCTCTGGGGCCTAGCTGACAGTTCCACCCAGTGCCAGGGCGCCGAGTAGGCACGGCTTGTAGGGTTTGGCGAAGAGGATTCTTCCTGGCCCTTCATCCCAGACCTGGGCGGCCAGGCACCCCTCATTCTGGTGCTGATGCCACCAGAAACCCGGCGGGAGAGGGCCCGGGAAAAGCCAGGAGAGGGGAGATTTGGCCAGGAAAGAGGCTGGGACACCGACTCCTCTTTGGAACTTTCACTTCCCGCTGCTGTCTTGGGCTGGGGGCCGAGAGGGCAGGCAGGGGTGGAGTGTCCGGAGGAGAGAGGGCCGTTGTGGGGAGGGGGGCGGACTCCGGGAGGAAGCGGAGGCTGTGGGGAGCGGGTGTGCCTGACTGGGCATGAGGGATATTTTGGGAGAGGGGGTGTTTGCACTGCTCACCCAGAAATGGGCGTTCCCCGCATCTCTGATGTGAGGAAAGGGAGGGTGAGTGGGCACCCGGCCACACGGCTTCGCCCAGTCCTGAGCGTGGGCGTTCCTGGGGGGGAGTTGGGAGGGAGTGGGAACAGGGGGAGGGTCCCCGTGAGAACCTGGGATTTGCCTGAGGGGGACAGGGAGCGGCCACAAGCTGGTTAAACTGAACTTCTTTCTCTGGGGACTTGTGGATGGGTTGGTGGCATGAAAGGGAAAAATTGGAGAGAAGCCCCCCACCCCCCAGTATTCTCCTTTAAGTCCCAGCATGCAATGCAACAGTCCTTCAAGCAGAGAAAGGCCTTGAGGTACTGGGAGCCAGGTGGGTCAGAGGGCACCAGCCCTGGTGCTGATTCTCTCAGCACTCTCTTGGGGTGTCGTCGGGACCCTGCAGGTGGCGCTGAGGAGGAGCAGGCAAGGCCAGAGGGGGCTGTGAATGGGCCTTTGGAGCCCCAGATCCTTGAGGACAACCTCACGCTCAGCCTAGCAGAGGTGCTTCAGGTGAGCCTCCCTCTCCCCTCAATAAAGAAATATGCCTCCACCACCCATCACCGTGAATAACCAGGTGTCTCAAGGTAAAGGCTACCTGAGGAGCTGGCGCGTGGACCTCACTGTAGCATGGCCATCCCAGGTCTGGCTGCCTCTCCCTCCACACCCCAGCACCTGGCTTCATTTACCTCCCTCTCCCCTCTACACACACATCTGTCCACCTCAGCCCCACCCAACCCATCCATCTCCTCTGGGAAATTCTGAGGCCAAACTTGCTTTCTTGGTCTCATGTTGTCAGTTTCCTCAGTGGGGGGACTTGGAGAGGCCTCACCAAACACCCTCCCCTCCCAATTCTAAAGCTGAGTCAGAGGAAGGGCTGGGGCCTACACCGAGTCCTCCACGATGCTTCCTCTCTGGGCAGGAAGCCGAGAAGGGGCAGCTCGGATACCTTCCTTGACCTCCCCACACAAACCCCCAGAACAATGCCCCAGGCCAGGCAGGGCTTCCTGGCCCCTCCCTCGGGATCCCCCCACCAGTGATCTAATCGTTGGTGCTCTCCTAAGGGCTTGAGATTTTCTGGTTAGAGAAGATAGGAGTTTCGGGCAGGGCCAGGGAGGTGACATGCCCTCTGGTGCCCACAGACCAGTCTGCCTGAGGCTTTGCGGATCAAATTGGAATTGGATGGTGAGAGTCATATCCTGGAGCTGCTACAGAATAGGTAATGATGATAGTGGCAACACTAATAATAACATGACTAACATTTATATAGCATCTACGATGTGCCAGGTACTAAGAGCTTGAACTCATTTAATCCTCATAACAACCCTATAAGGTAGATACTATTATGCATTATTACTATTGTTCTCATATATAAAGCAGTCAAGGCACAGAGAGGTTAAATAACTTGTCCAAGGTCACACAGCTATTGTGTGGGGAGAACCAGTTAGGAACCCCCATAGCCTGGCAGAGTTTGTGGCCCAGCCACTATACTCTGCTGACTCCAGGGGAAGCAGGAAGGTTGGGGGGATTGCCTGGCCCACAGCCACCCCTCTACCAACTCCAGTCCTCAGGCTGTCACTGCACCATCCTGGGAGACAGCTGACACTGCCCTCCTTTTTCTTCATTTCACAGGGACCTAGTCTCAGGCCGCCCAACCCTGGTATGGTACCAGCCTGATGGCACCCGGGTGGTCAGTGAGGGACACACTCTGGTGAGTCAGGCTGTCTCATGCCCTGCTTCTGGCCTGAGGGAAGAAGGGAGGGGGCACCTGGAGGATGTGGGAGGACATTGCATCTCTTCACCAACAGGCTAGTCTCCTGGGCTCTAATCCTGGCCTGTCCTTCAAGTTGGCACTCATGTTTCTCTGCTGTAGGAGAACTGCTGCTACCAGGGAATTGTGCAGGGCCATGCCGACTCCTGGGTCTCTGTCTGCACCTGCTCTGGGCTCAGGTACAGGGGCTCACTTCTTTGAAGGTGAAGAGAGTGAGGGTACACGAGCTGAAAAGTTTTCTGACTTCCTGCATCTTTCCATAGGGGCTTAGTGATCCTGTCCCCAGAGAGAAGCTACGTCCTGGATCTGGGGCCTGGGGACCTTCAGGGTTCCCCCGTTATTTCCCGGATCCAAGACCTCCTCCTGCCAGGCCACACTTGTGCCCTGAGCAGGCCTGCATCTGTGCTCACTCAGGCTCCACCAGCGCGCCCCCTGGGACAGCATCACAGTCACCGGGTGAGGATGAATGGCAGGAGCACTGGGCTTCTGTTGTCCCCAGGGCTGGCCTCCTGGCCCTCAGAGCTATTTGTCCACAGTAACAACCTCTCCTGCTAATGGAGTGATTTCCCAGTACCAGACACTTTGTAAACATTATCTCTTTTACTCTTACCAGCAACCCTGGGGGGCAGGTGCTCTCCATGGCTCTATCTTAGTGAGAAAACTGGCTCAGAGAGGTTAAATGACTTACCCAAGGCCATTCAACTAATAAATAGTATAGCCAGGATTTAGATGCAGGCACTTGACTCAAACTCCTCATGAGGCTTATGATCCATATGCAGAGAGCTCTCACTTGGATAGAGAGAACACATAGTTACCAATCACAGAGCAGTGAGAGTCCAATTTCCTAATTTACTCCATGCGGATAATAAAACTACTTACCTTATAGGATTACTGTGAAGATTAAATGAATGTATATACATGCATATATATGTGAATGCTTAGAACTCTGCGTGGTATATGTTAAGTGTTTGATGGTGTTGGCTATTATTATGTTTTTAAATTTGGGAAAAGCCCTAAATTTGAAGCCAGAAAAGGAGTACTCTACTCCCAGCTTCATAACCTTCAATTACTCTACCTTGGGCAAGTCCCTGGCCTCTCAGCCTCTCAGTGGTTCTCTGTAAAATGGGCTCTTCACTCTCCTGTTTGGCCACACAAGGTGGGCGTGGACACAGCCTGGTCAGCCCCGTGTGGCTGCTGGCGGTGAGTGGTGGGGGTGCCACATGCTCCCTCCTCTTGTCCACAGTGGAGGCGGGATGTGGTGACAGAGACCAAGATTGTGGAGCTGGTGATTGTGGCTGACCATTCTGAGGTGAGCTTGCCGGCCCTTGCATGTCCTCCCCTGACCTCTGCCTGCCCTGCCACCTTTCATGGTCACCTCTCGTGACCCACAGGTCCAGAGGTACCGGGACTTCCAGAGCCTGCTGAACCGTACCTTGGAAGTAGTCGTCCTCCTGGACACAGTGAGTGTCAGGCCAGCAGCATCCTTATGGCCCCTGACCCTGGGAACCCCTCTCCTGAACCCCAGTTCTCTTTCAGTTCTTCCGACCTCTGAATGTCCGAGTGATGTTAGTGGGCCTGGAGGCCTGGGCCCAGCGCAACCTGATAGAGATAAGCCAGGACCCAGCTCTCACACTAGACAGCTTCCTCCGCTGGCGCCGGTCAGACCTGCTGCCTCGATTGCCCCACGACAGTGCCCAGCTGGTGACGTAAGACCCCCAGGCTCAGCCAGCAGAGCTCAGTTCAGCCCCAGTCTGGCCAATTTCATACTCCAACTCCCTACCCAAGGCCCTAAAGCTCTGGCCACCTTGGCTTTGGGCCTTGACCTTTGACCTCTCAATCCCACAGTGCTACTTCATTCTCTGGGCCCACGGTGGGCATGGCCATTCAGAACTCCATCTGCTCTCCTGATTTCTCAGGAGGTGTGAACATGGTGAGCTATTTCCACACCTCCTTCCTGTTCCTGATTCAGTTCCTCCCAACTGGTACGATTTATTCACCGAAACTCCCTACAAACTTACCAACTGCAAAGCTGAGGGTATAGAGGGCAGGGGTTCATGATGTGGACTCTGCTGTCAGGGTACCCCTCGCCTATGGCCAGCTGATTAGTGTACACAGTCTTCACCTATAAGCTCTTCCCATGTCTTGGGGGATAAAGGGATGGCTGAGGCCCAGAGAACAGAGGTGCTCTCCCAGGGTCACATAGTGAGGGAGAGGGGCAGGGCTGAGCTAGAACCCAGGTTTCCTGCCACTCAGGCCTGGGTTTCCCCCTACTTGAGAAGCAATTGAGGAGGGAGGCGGTGCCTGCTGAGTGCCCAAGAGGTCAGATGAGGAGAGAACAGGAGCAGTCAGGCTGGTGCTGGACCTGGGTTATCCCCTCCCCAATGACAGGACCACTCCACAAGCATCCTGGGAGTTGCCTCCTCAATAGCCCATGAGTTGGGCCACAGCCTAGGCCTGGACCACGACTCACCTGGGAACCGCTGCCCCTGTCCAGGTCCCGCCCCAGCCAAGAGCTGCATCATGGAGGCCTCCACAGAGTGAGTAGCTGCAGGATGGAGAGAGGGGATAGGGCAGGGACAGGGAGCAGGGAGCAGTCCACAGCCCCAACCTTCCTTGCTGCTGTCCCCAGCTTCCTGCCAGGCCTGAACTTCAGCAACTGCAGCCGACAGGCCCTGGAGAAAGCCCTCCTGGGTGGGATGGGCAGCTGCCTCTTTGAACGGCTGTCCACTCTGCCCTCTATGGCCAGCATCTGTGGAAATATGTTGGTGGAGCCCGGCGAGCAGTGTGACTGTGGCTTCCCAGATGTGAGCTCCTCACCCAGAGCCCTGCCCCACTCACTTCAGTGCCCTCACTCCAGCACATCAGCCCTGTCCGAGCCTCCTGAGCCCCTCTCCCCACCTCCCTGTCTGTGGGGACAGCACATGCATTGTTGGGATCTAGCTTTCACTTGCTGTGTGTGTCCTTCTGGGTTCGGGCTCCGGGAGGAGGGGTTGGGGTAGGCTGTCAGGCCCAGCCTGCTCTGATGCTCGGCCCCTCTGCGCCCTGGCCCACAGGACTGCGCCGATCCCTGCTGTGATTACCACACCTGCCAGCTGAGGCCAGGGGCACAGTGCGCATCTGATGGACTCTGTTGTCAAAATTGCCAGGTGGGTGCAGACTGAACTGGCCACCCAGAGCCCACCTGCCAGGGGCCAGGGTGGAAAAAGTCACTCCTAGGGCCTGGCTGGATTTGCCCAGCACCCACACTGATGCTGAACCACCCTCCACAGCTGCGCCCGGCTGGCTGGCAGTGTCGCCCTACCAGAGGTGACTGTGACTTGCCCGAGTTCTGCCCAGGAGACAGCTCCCAGTGCCCCCCTGATGTCAGCCTGGGAGATGGCGAGCCGTGTGCTGGTGGACAGGCTGTGTGCATGCAAGGGCGTTGTGCCTCCTATGCCCAGCAGTGCCAAGCTCTCTGGGGACCTGGGGCCCAGCCCGCCATGCCGCTTTGCCTCCTGACTGCCAATACTCGGGGGGATGCCTTTGGGAGCTGTGGGCGCAACCCTGATAGAAGCTACGTGTCCTGTGCCCCCAGGCAAGTGAGGCAACCTGGCTCCTCCTGGCTTTGTGGGAGTCTTGGCTCTGCCCCACTGACCCTGCATCTTCTCCCTAACCAACCCCAGAGATGCCATTTGTGGACAGCTCCAGTGCCAGGGTGGGAGGGCCCAGCCTCTGCTAGGCTCAGCCCGGGATCTGCACTGGGAGGTGCTGGAAGACAATGGGACTCAGCAGAAGTTGAACTGCAGCTGGGTCCACCTGGACTTGGGCAATGACGTGGCCCAGCCCCTCCTGACTCTGCCTGGCACAGCCTGTGGTCCTGGCCTGGTGAGCAGCCTGGGTGGACAAGAACAAGTGGGGAGGGACACCTGGACTGCCGCAAGCAGTGCCCAGGCCTCACTATCCACCAGGGCAAAAGGCAGACTTTGAGGGGACTTCAGATTCTTACTTCAGATGGAGCAAAGTCCTGTTTCTTTGGTTTCCCCATCTGTAAAAGTGGGGTGGGCCTCGGCCGTGTTGGCCTCCCAGTACCAGAAAAGCTTTGTGAGAATGTGATATTTGCTCTTCTCTCCCCATTGAGCAGGTGTGCATTAACCATCGATGCCAGCCTGAGGAAATCCTGGGTGCACAGGAATGTCGAAGCAAATGCCATGGGCATGGGGTGAGCTGGCACAGGAGAGATGAATGGGGACCAGGGAGCCTCCCGGGAGGAAAAGAATGATGGGTTTTAGAAACAGACACACTTGAGTTCTAATCCTTGCTCTACCGCTTCTTAACCATGTGACGTGAGGCAGGTTATTAAGCTCTCTGAGCTCAGCTTCCTCATCTATGTAATGGGCATAATAATAGTACCGACTTCGGGGGGTACATGAGATAAGTATGAAAGCTTCTAGTAAAGTCCCCAGCATATAGAAAGACTCACAGTGTGAGTCCAGTCTAATTTCCTCTGGCACTGATAAAGAGTCCCTCCCTCTCGAGAGTGCTGGCACCCTCCATCCCATCATCCCCAGAACGCCTTCCAGTTGTGAACATCTGGGATCTTGAAAAGCTGGAGACAGAGAAACATGGCCCCAGAATGCAGGACCCCTCATTGTTCAACCTGTACCTCCTAGGTCTGCGACAGCAACAGACACTGCCGCTGTGAGGAGGGCTGGGCACCCCCGGACTGCACCACCCACATCAGAGGTAGCATGGGGTGGGGGGTAGGAGCAGCTGGGAGGGCATCCTACACCACCCCTCTTCTTCTGACCCCCTCACTGCTGGTTCCCTGACTCTCTGTGACCCCTGACCCCTTCACCTTCTCTGACTGCTTGACCTCACTCCCTGCCCTACCAGTCCCCACCCTGCCTCTTCCTGGGTGTAGAGTTCTTAGCCCTGCTTACCTTCAAACTTGCCCCCACCCCCTGCGCAGCAACCAGCTCCCTGACCACAGGGCTGGCCCTCAGCCTCCTGTTGTTGCTGGTCCTGGTATTGCTTGGTGCCAGCTACTGGCACCGTGCCCGCCTGCGCCAGCGAATCTGCCAGCTCAAGGGACCCAGCTGCCAATACAGGTACCAGCCTCCCTGCTACCAGCTTTCTCAACAGCTCTGTTGAAGACAACAGCTCTGGAGCCTTGTCCCCACCTCCGCAGCCCCTGCCACCTAGTTTTGAGCCCATTTCCCCTGGAACAAACCCCACGTACCTCTCTTCCTTACATGTGCCCCATAACCCTCCACATCACACATAGACCCGCGTGGGGCAGCTGGGATGCTAAGGCCATTTCTCTCCAGGAGCCCCAGTGCTGAGTAACTGGGGCCCTCCCTCAGGTTGATCAACTTCCCCTTCCCACTTCTAGTTATGCCTAAACCACAGACAAGCTCCTGCCAAGGGGCAGACAAAGGGTTAGCCCCACTCAAGGGCCGCATATGAGTGGGGAACAGCATCTGAGGCTGGGCCCTCTCCCTCTTTGCCTTTCTTCATGCTCAGGGCAGCCCAGTCTGGTCCTCCAGAACGCCCAGGACCCCCGCAGAGGGCCCTGCTGATGCCAGGTGCCAAGGTAGGTCTGTATGCCAGAGGAGAAAGGGCCTCAACTTGGCCGGGCATCCAGCTTGGGCCCTAGGGTGGGGGTACTGAAGACTCTAGACTCAGAAAGACTTGCATTTCCCAAGAGTCAGTCAGAGGAGTCAGGGCCAGCCCTCCCTGCCCCTCCCCTGGCTGCAGGCTGAGAAGCAGAGTCCAGACTGGACTGGGGAGGGGCAGTCTCCTAGAGCAGGCAGTGCTGAGCTCTTTGAGTTGGCCAAACGGGTGCCTTTGAAAGGTGGATCTACCTGTGCTCCCAGCCGTGACTCCTGGAGGGCAGGAGGGGGTGGTGCTCAGAGTGGCCTTCAGTGTGCCAGGACCTGACGAGGCCCAGGTCACCATGTGTAGAAGGGCTGGTGAGTGCCCCTGCCCTGAGCCCTGATCTGATGACAGGAGTATTTGTGTGGAGGTGGTCTGCATGCCCCGCCACCACTCGTCACCCACTCTGCATGCAACTGAATGACCGCACGCAGAGCCCTTACTGCCCCTGGGGCCCTGGCTGCCCCTCCGTGGGCACTAACACCTCTCTGCCCACATCTGTCTCTCTGCTCCCTCTTCCCCACCCCCACCCCGACTCTGCCTGTCTGCTTCTCCTGCCTTCTCAGCAGACTAGTGCTCTTGGCTTTCCGGCACCCCCCTCCAGGCCGCTGCCTCCTGACCCAGTGCCCAAGAGACTCCAGGTAAATCTGGACCAGGCACCGCCCTGGCCCAGGGCAGGTGGGAGGCTTGGTGCCCAACTGCAGTTCTCATCCCTGTTCCCTGCCAGTGGCGCTCTTCATTAGGGGACCAGGGTGCCCCTCAACCTCCAGACCCTCTGAGCCCCAGAAGCAGCAATGGGTGAGCCTCCTGCCTTGGTTTCTACCACCATCTGGTGGTCAGTGGCGGGACTGCAGTCGGCCAGGGACACCACGGTGACCCACACCTTTCTCTCCTCAGACATTTGCTGGTCTGCACTCAAGCCCTGTGCGCATGTCCCTGTTCTCTCCTGCCCCCTGGCTGACTTTGCATGTTGACCTGAACCCCTAGGGAGACCCACTGCATGACCACTGCCCCTAGCTGTGCTCTCATAGCCACTGCTCCTTTCTCTGTTCAGGCTGAGCTGGCTGACCGACCCAATCCCCCCACTCGCCCTCTGCCAGCTGACCCGGTGGTGAGGCGCCCGAAGGTAACAGTGGGGGGAGAGAAGGGCACAGCCTTTCCCCCCACCCAGGGCTGTGGTGCTAGTAGCCTTGGCGGTGGTGCCGGTGGCAAGATGACCCTTGTGCCTGGGGGCACATACCTGGTGGCATCTTAAATGGTGACAGGTTTGTTTGGAGACAAAGGTGACCTCTGGTGCCGCCTCTCAAGCTGGTGTTCCTGAGCATCAGTGTTGTCGGAAGTGGGCAACATGATACCCCCTCCCAAGCTGGCCTTCTGCCTTCTCTCTCTGTCTCAGGGGCCCGCCAAGCCCCCACCCCCAAGAAAACCACTGCCTGCTGATCCCCAGGGCCAGCGCCCTTCGGGTGACCTGCTTGACCCTGGAGCTGGAATCCCGCCCCCAGTGGTACCCTCCAGGTAGGGGAGGAAGGGTGCTGAGGATCGGTGGGCGGGGCGAGTGGTCTGAGGAAAGAGGACCTCTGAACTTTTTCCTCGGCTTCCCGCACCCTAGGCCTGCGCCGCCGCCTCCAGCAATGTCCTCGCTCTACCTCTGACCTCTCCTGAGGTCCCGCTGCCTCTAACCTGGACTTAGGACTTCAAGAGGTGGGCCTGACCCCTGGAGTCCCCCCGCGATGACTGAAGGAGCTGGAGCCTGGACGCTACAGAGCAGGCCTCTTAAGACACCAGGCACCTCCACGCACTGTTGAGGAGCACCCTGGGGACCCGCCCACGCAATGGCAGCTGGGGGTTGGGGAGGGGCTGGGCGCTGGACGGGGCTGAGGGAGGTGCGCACAGCCTGTCTCTGATCAGTTGCAATAAACGTGAGGTCTTGAGAGCGTTCCTCAAAAGTTTGTCTGCTCAGGGAAGGAGGGTCTCCCCTGTCGCGATTCCAGGTATGGCCGCCAGGAGACGCTGTCGCCTCAGACGAAGATGGGCTAGGGAGGGCCAGAGTCCTAAGCAGGGTCAGCGAGTGTCCCCGGGATGCTCGCGGCTTGTTTCTGTCCAGTCTTGGGTGACTCTCTGCACAATCCAGTACCACAAAGGGAGTTGTACGCCCTCTGCCACCCCCAGTTGCCAAGTCATCACCCCTAAAGCCGCGTGGCCCCTGGCGGCGGCCATCGACAAACCGGCCAAGCTTTTGGACCCACCGTCCCCACCCTCTGACCAGTAGCTGGGAAAAATGGAACTGACTGGTGTGCTCAGAGCCCTGGAGCTGGGGTGGGGTGGGGCGGCGGCTCCCAGGATCCCAAGGCCGCGCACCTGCCTCCTCCCCCGCCCCCGCCCCCACCTGAGGGTTCGGGAACAAAGGTGCTTTGTACCCGCCACAACTACCTCATTACTTCGTCTTTGAGACTGGGGCCTCGTAGACCCCCTGAGTCTAGAACGAAGGTGTGAGGCTGAAAGGGACAAGCGCCAAACCCAAGATGGGCATCGAGCTCGCCACTGGGGCGAGTCTCAGGAGTGGGGGTCTCAGGAGGCGATTTCTCTTTGCGTGGGGGAGGGGGTCTCAGGAGGCGATTTATCCCTTCCTCTCGCGCTATCCCTAGCTGTGTAAAGAAAAAGGAGCAATGGTGCCTAAGATGGCTGGACAAGCTTCGTGGATCCTCGCCCGCGTCTCACTTGCCTCTTTCTGGGCCAAGAGCGGGCTCGTACTTAAATCTTCCAAGGTTCTAATAAGGCTTTCTACCGTGTACTAATACAGACACGAAAGACACGACCTCCCTAAAACAACTCCTAGACAGTGGAATACGTCCCTCCTCACCACCCCTTGGGAAGAGCTTGGCTAAGCAGGCGCGCCATACAGCGCACAGAAGGTTAACAAGAGTTGGCTTTGAATGAAGAGGCGGAGACGCGCCCCCATTGGTGGAAAGTTATCCCGGGGCGTGGCCTGTGAGTCTTGGCACCCCCACCCCCCCTTCCCGCAACCCCCCCCTCCGCACTTTGTACCTTTCTCGCGGCGACTGCGAAGCGGGCCGGGACGGGCCGGGCC